CTTAATAATCAGATTGTAGTAGGCTTGTTCTTGTCATTCGTTAGACTGTTATTGGATTTTCTACCGTAGCAGTTCAATTCGATTCCAATAGACGTATGTTATACGCACCCTCCGTTTTCGAATATCAAAACACAATAATTCTAGGAGAAAGTGGTCTATTTATATAGAATAAATGGAAATACAAACGTTACTTAACGAATTTTACTTCTTCCAGTTCAAAATTACTCTGAATGAGTATCCAGGTTCCGGAGACTAGGTGAACTCGTATACCGCAACGATATCAAATCCAAAAATGTGGCTGTAGCCATATTATATCAAATTTAAACAACAAATGTACAGTTCAGAAGCAAACATAAAAACTTCAATATAAGTACAAAATATAGAAAGAATAACAACATACAATGATAAAATCTCAAATTGGAATCAAATAAAGTACCAAAAATGTCAACAGAAAAGGTCCGTCATGTCATAGCAAAAATATATAAGCATGGAGGGATTTTCCAATAAACAAAACATTCAAAAAAGATTCTACAATCAGTATTAGTGATAAACCGCGAGCACATTTGGTGTAGAACAATAAGTCATATAAATAATTATGTTTAAAATACAGCCATAGAGGACGTTTTGTGGTTGATGGTGTTTTTGTCAAGCCTTCAGACCGTACACTCAGATTCATATCCGATATCGTAAAGCGCTGACTGAACGAGAGTAACTGTCCGTTTTATGAATACCAAAGGCACATTACGGCACGGAAACTTACATGTCACGAATGTCTGAAACTCGCACTCGTTATTGCTCGTATGTCTATTAGAATACCTTCTACAATAACCAGTTAGAATCCAATCACAAAATGGTTGCCTCTTCAATGGTTTCAGCTGTCACTGATCTTCTGAAGTAAGATTTTACAATATCTGTACAAGTCTAGATGTAATCTGAATGCGATGATTATGTATGTCTCGATTTACGGAAATCTCGACACTTGTGAAAATCTTATAGAATTATATTCGCATCACCATGCGATTTCAGCTTGTGGGCAATCGATATGTACCAAATTATTTCAGCGAAATTATCCGTTTGCCATGTCGCATCAGATCACAATTCTCTTCACATCCAAATAAAAAGAACGGAATTTCCTCGGCTGAAATTGTCGGTTATCACTCATTTAAACAAATAGGCGGTTAAAAACAGTTTAAAATTAAACCAGCCGAAGTGTCACGTCATGTACATTCTGCAACACATGACGTGAGCCACTTACACCCTCAATGGAAGTCCGCTCACCAAGGTCTCCCCAGGGTGCGATCTCGGTTTGATAACAACAGAAGGCCTCCTCACCAGTTAGAACTACATAGAGGACGCAGCCAATGCTAATTCGACCCATCACTTTATAAAAAACAACTTGGCGCTGTCGCCCTACAGTTAGTATTGACATTGTTAAAGACATACACGAGCCCACACCCTAAGGTTTGCCACGTCTTCGCGCCCCTTCTCCTTGAAAGAGGTATGAAACTCTTGGATCCAGGGCAGGAACGAGCAAAGAAATAGGCGATGAGGTTGCAAAAAGACTTGCGAAGATAGACTTCAGCACTTTAGATTATTTCCTCTGAGTTACAGAAGAATCAGAGGTGATCTGATTATGGCGAACAACATATTGAGCAAGCCAAACCAACTTGAGTACAATACCAATGCATCACCGCCACCTCTCCTGAGGTAATCCTCGAAAAATTGCGCTTTAAAGAGCGGAGACTCAGGTTCGTACACACTTGTTCTAATTGAGTTGTTGCAACTTGGAACGCTATTTCAGCCGAGGTGACAACAGCCCCCTTCAGTAGAGACATTCATGAACAAACTTTACTATCACGTACCTACAAACGGATTACCATTGCACTCGCGGACCAGCTGTGCCTGAAGCATATCTTGAAACCTGCTAGTTGTTATTAATTACATCTCCTCAGATCACCAACTTATTCTCTCTCGTCTATTATCTTTTTTCCTCTCCCTTACTTACATTTCAATCCTTCCGCACAATCGCCTCTACCGATTAATAAATTAAATTATCAATTTAGTTACTTATTTGCCGAATCTTGTCCTTAGTAGCATTAGAATTTTTTTCCTTGTTATTCTCCGCATTAAAACTAAACGATCTCGAGCTTGGTAACGTGATAGCTGCTAGTATCCTGAATCGACTGCTTTGAAACAAACATATTCATTCAAATAACGGGACATGCAAACTCACAGACCACTACCAACTGACTCTATTTAGTGCAATTGAGTGGCTAGAGCACCATCCACTTGACAATACCAAATACCTGGAACTGTTTTAAAAGGGGAAGAACCGAGAACAAAGAAGTCATTTGGTTTATACTTGGTCGTGTTAAAGATATTGAATACTGGACACATCTCGAATACACGAGGCATATCAAACAATACCGACGTTAAAATACATAAGAAAGGAGAGTCATTTATTGTTTTTTTAAAAGATTTTCTTATAGGGAAATACTACCTGAATGTAAAGACATCTGAAATCCATCCCATTCTTGGATATCTAACAAACTTGCAGCAGTTCAAATGTGTAATGTCCATTCAAGGTCACCCAAGTGAAACGTCGGCCTGTATTTAGAGGACCTTATGTTTTCACCGTTTCAGATCAGATCCAAATATGTTTTTTGGTGAGAGAAAGCCTACAACCTGTGTTAGCCTTTTTCTAGTAAGCTTCAAAGAGTCTTAATCTACAGTAGAGCAGGGTAAAGAGCTGTAATATTATAAGCTGTTCTCGGATAAATTGTCTTTAGATGGTTCGAAGGCACCAGCCTTCAGACTAAGTTCGCTTTTTTTGGCAGAATGCGATCAAAGGCTTGAAATTTGTCTCGGCTTGATTTTTTCCCCAAATAATTATTATACTCAACCGAGATTTTCACACGTAGAGAAAACACCATGATTTTGTAGTAAAAAACCTTGATCAGCTATTGGTTTTTTATGCCAGATTGTACCTTATATTTTGCAAGTTCGAATACTTTCCGCTAACTCCACAAACGTCTTAATTTCCTTACAGTAGTTCTAAATAAATGGGCCCGTTGATTTTCATTAATAGCTGTAATAGTCTGGATAGATATTACGTTTTCTAATTAGCTAGATCGGTTTTACAACTTGATTATTAACTGACTAGTCTCAAACACTGATCGTCCCAGTCTATAGGTAAGGAGAGTAGTCCTCCTTTGACAATCAAAGAACAATCACTAACTAATATAGCGTCTAAAATGTTAGCCTCGATTATACTTCGACGCCTAACTAGAGTTCGTGAAGAGCAGATTCGAGAAAACCAGATTGGTTTCAGACCTGGACGTGGCTGTATAGACCACATTTCTATACTACAACAGGTCCTGCAACACAGACACATCTAGGCATTCTACAATAGTCGTCTTCCTGGATCTTAAGGAGGCATTTGACTCTGTCGATCGAGAGGATCTGTGGTAGTGTCTTTCAATAAAAGGTGTACCAGGGAAGTACGTCAACCCTATCCAAGCTCTCTACTCGAACACCACTGGTTGACTGTCATCGGAATTCATTACTTCAAGTGTCCACTGTCCCCATTCTTGTCTAACATAGTCATAGACATGCTTTTATAGATAACATCTTCGTCTGACTTTCCAGAGGTGGACCTTCTACCAGGAGGATCGCTTGTTGACTTAGAATATGCCGACGACATAGTTCTATTTGGTGAAGACGCTGACATAATGGAGTCTTATGACCACCCTAAGCAACAGTACAAACGTATTTGGGATGCGGTCCTCTCCCTCAAAATGTGAAATGTTGTTTCAAGATTGACTTGCGTCAACACCTGATCTAATAATAAGAAGTGAAGCGGTTGAGCCTGTTGACCGCGGATCCAGAAAGCTCATTTGTCTTTCACCAACTTGCGTCACTTATTGCGTAGGCGAGATATCCGAAGGACGAGTGTACTGTGCGGCAGTTCACCCCTTCCTACCTTATGGCTGTGATATATGGCCAGTCAGAGCAGTAGATATTCGTAGGTTACTAGTTTTCGATAATCTGTGTCTCCGAAGCCTTGCTCGTATATCTTGGGACAACTGAGTTAGCACTGCTGTTGTTAGGAAACGGTTACCATTTAAGATGATGGATCAATAGATGAATTACTGAAACTTCATCAGTTAAGACATGTGTTACGAATGCCCAACCACCGACTGCCTCGTCGAGCTATGTTTTGCGGTGTAGGATTTCTAATCTCAATTACTCATCACCTCTATCTTCCTAAATTTATTTCACTGGGTTATACTTTCTGAATAATATCTTGGAACCCTAAATTTATCTATTACTGACACTTCAACTACATCTACCCCTACGGGGTTTGAATTAACAATTGCGTCCCTGTACTAACGTGGTATGGTGACCTGAACCGAAGTACGTTCCTACAAAGTTATACGTTGTAACTGATTTGATTGTTAACTAGTTATTATAGTGGAAATAAGCTTCCGCTTATAACGCATTATCACTTGATTTTACCTCCAAAACTTTGACTTTTCGAAGAAACTGAACTTCAAACAGTAGTATTTCTCCTAAATAATTTCCATGTTTGATATCGTTATTGTCATTTACAATCAGGATAAGCTATGCGTGTCATAATTAGGATCGTTTGTCATGATAAATTATTAATTTGTTCGGTGGAATAATGTTGTGGCATGTTTTCACACACAAGTTTGTATGAATTCTGTCCTTTCACATCCATAGTATCCTGAACCAAATCGTAAAGAAAAAACTGGTAATCATTGTTATGAATAAATGTAATGTATACAGACGTTTATACGTATCACCTAAGATTAAAGTACGAACTATGTCTGAATGAGGTAATGTTGATTCATGAGGATAATGTTCGAAATGAAGTAAACTGAAAAGTGGTAACAAAGTTTTTGGTACATCTTATTGTAGCCTATTAACTAGCAATGTATATTCGTTAAAAGTTGCATTGCCTTTTGTTTTCCACGGATATACTTTGTTACTGGTATCGTGTAAGTAAGCCTAATAATCAGAATCTGTTTGCTTTTGTATGTGAGTTTCACTGACCTAATGACTACTAAACCGTAAAGACAGTACATCTGAACAAGAATGTCCTAAACAATAAATACTCACTGCAAACCATTCTGTAAAGTCGATAATGACTAATTCCGACTTTTTTCTTTGTCCCAAGCAAAATATATTGAAAAAGTAGTTGGGATAACAACGCAAGTAAAAAATTATCTATCAGTTTTACGAAGATCATCTCCATGTATCCCTAACAGTTAATAAACGACAATCACAACGTACAGAGTAATAGTGGACAAGGACAGTTTAAATGATACCTGGCTGAGCTCAACGGCTCCTTCAGTATTTGATTTTGTACCCTCATTCTGGTAAGGCACTTTTCCCATTCCCTGCAGGATGAATAACATTATTAAGATCGGCTTACTGTGTACAAAATCAATAGTAATGGTCTACGTACGAAAAAAGCAAGGTAGGCCAAATTTATTTATTCAATTAGTTAGAGAAAAGGATTAATTAAGAAGATATGTACGACTACGAATTGTTAGGATCCATAGAGCCTTATACCAAATCGAATTTTTATCTTATTTGCAAATGTAACTAGCTAAAGAGCTTTTCTGAGTGCAGATTGATCAGTATTCTCTTGTCCACTAAAGACTGATGAGCAATCGTCTGTACTAGATGTTCAATACTTTCTAAAGGAGCAAGTACCATTTGGTTAATGCTCATACTCTTTAATTCTCAAATTATATCGATGGTAATTGTTTTATTGTTTGTTTGAGGTCATCATAAAGGTGTTGCAATCAGTTGAAAATAATATAAATCACATAAGTTTATATCCGTTGAGAGTTTTGATCTTAAACTCGGAAACAAAATTTACATATGTTTCTTAAACGTGTGTCAGCATTGCTCTGAACGGAATGCTAGGTATCGAAAATTCGATTTAGACTAGTGAAACATGAAAAAAAAACCCAAAAACTAATATTTGATTCTTGGTTTGGTCGCAAGTATTTATATAGATGTTGACAAAGTTCTGAAAAGAGGTTACTGTACAGTATCATATATCTTCCTTACCATTAATACCTCTACTATCTTTATCACTATTAGATTTGAATTGACAATTGCGTCTCTGTGCTAATGTGGTATGGCAACATGAACTTATGTACATACGTACGAAGTTCTACGTTGCAACTGATTGACTAACTGTTATATATCTTCCAGCAGGATAGTTATTGAGTTTCCCTTTGAATCTGTAATTGTTTTGTTTGTGGTGTGGTCAGAGAAAACTGAAAAGTACTAAGTGCTGGTAAAAAAAACTAACACCAAATCAATTACTAGTTGATTATTTTCTTCAAAATTGTGGTGATAAAGAATATGTAATCAACAATGAAGCCCAACAAATGTATCTTTAAAGTTCCATTTCCTCTTTTTACTTCTGCATACTTATTCCTCAGAGCCCATATATATTCACTCGTTGCTTTTAATTTCAGATAGAAAGAACAGTCATTAATTCTTATGGATTTGTACCAAAGATCTATATGCGATAAACTGAAATCTTGTAGGTTTTTCTTTTTCGGAAAACAATATAATAGTGTTACATTCAATTATTTTTTTTATCTTGCTTATGATTGTAAAATTTCATTTTATTCTGACACGAGTTTTTCACACCATCAATGCGAAATACTTATTTTATCTGGATATTGTTTGATGACGATATAGCTGTGAAACATGGCCAGTGAGAGTAAAAGATATTCGTAGGTTACTGGTTTTCGATCATAGGTGTCTTCGAAGCATTGCTCGTATGTCCTGGGACACCCGAGTCAGCAACGCTGTTATTAGGAAGCGGGTTCTAGGTGAGAATAGCAGTTCAATGGATGAAGTAGTGAAACTTCATCAGTTGAGGTGGTTGGGACACGTGTTGCGTATGCCTAACCAACGACTGCCTCGACGAGCTTTGTTTTTTAGTGTAGGAGTAGGTTGAAGAAAGTTAGGGGCGGTCAAATCAAAACATGGCAGAAATCTATGAAGTCATTGACAAGTGGACTGAGTCATGTCGGTAGGTGTTGACTATCTGGTTGGGGTCCGCGAGATGATAATAATCGATGGTTAAAGACCCTGAATGACATGGCTCAAAACCGTTTGCAATGGCGCCGGTGCATTTATTCTTTGTGTTCTCTCAAATCCTAATCTTCTGGTTTCTTCAACACCTCTAGTTTTGTCTTCCTTTACTTATCTCACTGAATCATACTTCTTAAATAATATCTAATCCTAATCTCTCCGATTACTTCTAATACCTTTACTACCTCTACTACTATTGAATATGAATTGACAGTTGCGTCTCTTTGCTGATATGGTATGGCAACATGAACTGATGTACTTACATACATACATCTGACTGACTGACATATCGTCTAATGTTTTTTCATTATGCAATGTGCATGTACCACTTTCTGTCAAGTATCCTTAACATAACCACTACTTAGCTTCTAAAAATTTCTATAGTAAAAGTTATTTGTGATAATTTGTAGCCCTACTCTAATCAATATAACTTTAAAAAAAATAATAGTAAGTGCAACTTTAAAAGACATTATATTGCTTTAAATCACCACAGTCATAAAAGAATACACTGTTAAGTCAATTCAGTAAAGTAACGTGGTTACACGGAAAGTTAGTGACCAAGAAGCAATAAGTTACTCATTCTCATGTATCCTGAACCCCTCCTAGTAGTCCAAAAATTTTCATGGGTTGAAATAAACATTGGTGATTTGTAACACTTCTACAACATTATAATTACACCAAAAAATTCCTGTATACCTAGTTGTATTATAAATTAAGGCTCACACCAGTTTAGTACATACGATTTGTTTATGTATAATTAAATTACTTTTCGCTTAGCTTCAGAATCGTTAATCGCATGTGAGCAGGACTCCGAAAATAATAGTAGTCAAATTCCTTTTACCTTGACATTTTACCCACTATCATATTATGAGGAGTTTGTTCCTCCCCTAGACAAATGTACGTATAGATTATATGTGACATATTAGTTGTTATGTTAAGATTAGCAACCTAGCCTCCTTTAACAGTGTAATTTTTTTTACAGTAGCTATTGAGGATTAGTACAGCTGTCTGAATAGTAGATTTTTTCATATACCAAGTTTGTGTAATTAGATTTAGTATAACTGATGTCGATTCCTGTGAACATAAGAGCCACTGTAAACTAGGATTTGTTAAACAAATATTTATTTTTGGTATGAAACTCTACTACTAACCCACCTAAACCGAAGCACAGGATCAATGAGTTAGAATTCAATGGTTAATATTTCAAACTACCATTTAATGTCATTGATAGGCAACTTCCATAATCATTATTATCCAAAATACGTTCAGTCGTATTTTATGTACACTCCAGCTCTCATATATATCAACCAAAGGGAATAATAAGGTGCGTATCAGTTACGCTAGTATCACTTCATATTAGCTAAATACACTATATATTTTTTAGTCCATATTTCTAGTCAAATCGATTTACGTTTTTCTCTCATCTGACTGGCATCTTTAAATGCTTGATCAACGCTTCTATGATAATCCAGCAATAGTCAATTGTATAGTTTCTAGCTTATTATTACTTGACGTTTTAATCTCACCCTAAAACTGCTTTCTAACATATTTTTTTCCAACAAAATATAGCTGGCTGGGACTACATTAAATGGTATGCAGATGCAACAAAATTAATGCCCGATTATACAGGTGCTTTGATTTTAGCAGCACAACAGTGTTCAAATGTTGATGTTGTAATCAAATTAAAAGTGGCTGTTATTCTAATGATACCTTTGATAGATTATTCTAAAAGAACATTAAACTTCTTAAATCTACACAATATAATCAGCACTGTTGAACAAAAACGTGATGATTTTTTAAAAGAACTTTATCATGAATACAAACCATTTCCGAATTGCGACGTGTATGATTGTAAAACAACTTCATTCAGGTAAGATCATAGTTTTTAGCGACTTACTATGAATCTATAAAGTTGGTTGGAGATTTATCTGGGGTTTAGTACTGAATAAAAGTTTTTGGTTTATTTTTAATCATAAATATATCTTTATGTACAATTAGTATGATGATATGATATTGAAATCCAGTTCATTAGAATTCTTCGTCAGAACGTTTTTGAATAAAATGTTATGAAGTAAATGTTAACAGGACTTACAATCATTAAACCTAAATGCTTACATTCCTATTTACACCTACAAAAATGTTGATTTTGAACATGGTTTATTTCATATAGACTATTAATATATATCACTTAGTAATAAGTTTATTGCTCAATTTAATAAATGTAACTTCTTCGACAGTTACAAGCTAATGCATCCGACTATATGCCACACTATTTTCTTAAGAGACTAACCATACAGCACAAACCTTAAATCTAGGAATGTTAAGCGGGATTTTGGCCGCAACCTAAACATGGCACAAATCCATGAAGTCACTGACAACTCAACTGAGCCATGTTAAGAGATGTAGACTATTTGGTTGCAGTCTACAAGACAATCGTAACCGGTGGTTAGAGATTGAGTGACATGGCTCCTCTCAAATTCTAATCTTCTGAATTTCTCTTGACCTTTTTTCTCTTTTTAAATTTACTCCACTGGGATATACTTCTCGAAACATATCTTCAGTTCCTAGTCTTTTCAATTACCTCTAAAACTGCTACTATCTCTGCCATAATGGGATTTGTATAGACAGTTCACTCTCTTTGTGCCAATTTAGTACGGTAACTTGAATTGATGTACGTACGTACGAAGTTCTATGTTGTAGTTGACTGACTGACTTCAACTGCTACACTACCTCCCCTTAACTTTCCCTTCATTACAGTCAAATTTCTAATGAAGTCAGTCAAACAAATATTATGTTAATATATCCAGATTGTAGAAGCTTCTTCATTATAGTGTTAACGTGATTTATCCTAGCTTTTAGACAGAAAAATAATCTTAATCTTTCCACTTATTCCGAAAATTCATATTTGTTATTGTCAAATGTTCACATGATAACCTTGAAGGTTTCTTCAATATACTTCTGTGTAAATGTATGTCAAACATTACCTGTAACTTTATTTGTTGTCTTTCCACTCGCTGTATTTTATTCACAGTCTATTTTCATGTATGCGATAAATCACCTTAATTAGACAGGGAGGAGTTATATAGTGTTCCGACTTTATGTTACGTCAGCTTTTACTTCGCTCTCACGACTGCCTGTTTATAATTGACTGCATGAAGTAGACGTATCCTCATTACATTTCGTATTTCTCCTTTTTAATTTAACGTTTTTTTAGACATTAAATACGTAATCAAATATGGTACATATGAGAGTTAAACTGAAGTAAGTTCTGTGTACGAAGTTCTACGTTGCAACTGACTGACTGACTGATCAAGATGCTATTCAATAAAAAATCACATCTGATAAACTTTAATACATCAACTAAGTACATACTTATAGGCTTCGTTCTGAACCACACTATGTTAGATCTATCAGACTTACAAAAATAAAATTTTGATTTAAAATGGTTTGAATACTATTTGGTTTTCTAATATTTAAACTACACTTTTCTATTGTATTTTAAGTGTAAAATTAGGTTGTTATGAAAGCGATGGAATGTTTATATTAATGAATGCTTCCTCTGGTCTTTCGTCCGGTTTTTAATCTCTTAATTGAAATCGATGGATCAGGTGAGTATTGCATAAATTTTTGTAAATTAAGCAATCTATCCATGCCCGTCGTTTTGCATTTCTTTCCTAATTACCACTAATCAACGTTTCTGTTGGTGGTTTCATCATCTTGTTTTAAACTATATTGGGAATGTTTATTAAAAGAGGATTCCTTTGTAAAGCTAACTTGTATGTCCTGTAGTTTGGCGAAATGTAATTCACTCTTGATATGATATTTCTTGTTCACCTTATGTCATAGAAAACCTCAAAACACTATTTTTAAACTAGATTTATGTGTTCTTATCGATCTGTAAAGTATACCATTGCTTTGAATCCTTTAACAGACAGTAGATTGTATTCCTAAGATCTAGTCGGTATCACTATTTTATCATGACTTGTTTATAAATGATACTGAAATCTGTGATTTTCATAATGTTGGGAAGCGCTTTTACTAACATTTACTCTATACAGGATAACTAATCAAAATGGATCGACTTAACGTACATTCACCAGTCAAGTTAAAAACAACATAGAACTTCGTACGTACGTACATCAGTTCAAGTTGCCATACTACATTAGCACAGAGATGCAATTGTTACTTCAAATCCCATAGTAGTAGATGCAGTAAGAGTACTGACAGTAATCGGAGAGATTAGGGTTCGAAGATATTATTCAACAAGTAGAATCTAGTGAAATAAACTTAAAAAGAAATAGACAAAGGTGATGGGAAACTGTGAGGGTTAGAATTTGCGAGAACACAAAGAGTGGATGCGCGGATTGGGAAAGCAAGGGCTGCATTTCTACAGTTGAAAAATGTCTGGAACTCCAAACAACTTTCAACCAAAACCAAAATCAGGATTTTCAATACAAATGCCAAGACAGTTCTACAGTATGGAGCGGAAACTTGGAGAACTACGAAAGGCATCATCCAGAAGATACAAGTGTTTTTTAACAGTTGTCTACGCGAAATACTTCGGATTCGTTGGCCAGACACCATCAGCAACAACCTACTGTGGTAGAAAACAAACCAGTGGAGGAGGAAATCAGGAAGAAGCGGTGGAAGTAGATAGGACACACACTACGAAAAGCACCTAACTGCGTCACGAGACAAGCCCTCACATGGAACCCTCAAGGCAAAAAGAAGAGAGGAAGGCCAAGAAACACATTTCGCCGAGAAATAGAGAAAGACATGAGAAGAATTAACAAACATTGGACAGAACTGGAGAGGGAAGTCCAGAACGGAGTTGGTTGGAGAAAACTGGTTGGCGGCCTATGCTCCGTTGGGGGTAACAGGCGTAAGTAAGTAAGTAATTGCGTTACATGTCCTTAAAGATCGATAACGGTCATAATTCCCTATTCAATTTTTTCTCTTTCCAGACAATTCAACAAATAAACAAATGTAAATTATGTAATAAAGATTACGAAATAATTTATCATGGGAAAAACTATTTATGTATAATACTATTAGATATTATAGAATTTCTTGTCCTTAAGTGTAATTTTACGTCTTAGAAAAAGTAAGGATTGAAAGTTTATTATTATTATTATTAAATCCAATACATTCGAATATATAGATCATCCTATATTACTCAGACAAAAACGGTTTTCCCTCTCGAAATGGAAAATGTTGCTTCCGAGATTGGGTTTCATCAGCACCTGAACTTAGTGATAGGGAGTGAAGTAGTTGAACGTGTAGACCGCTTCACTTATCTTGGGAGTCTCATCAGTGCTGATGGCATGGTGACTGACGAAATCTCAGCACGGATACAGAAGGCTCGATCGGCTTTTGCCAAACTGCGTCATCTATGGCGTAGGCGAGATATCCGTTTGCTGATTAAAGGACGAGTGTACTGTGCGGCAGTTCGCTCCGCCCTACTGTACGGATACGAGACTTGGCCGTTAAGAGTAGAAGATATTCGTAGGTTACTGGTTTTGGGTCATAGATGTTATAAAAGCTATAAAAGCATTGCTCGTGTATCATGGGACAACCGTATAAGCAATGCTGTTGTTAGGAAATGAGTTCTAGGTAGGGATGGCGAATCAGTAGATGAAGTATTGAAACTTCATCAGGTGAGTTGGTCGAGACATGTGTTACGAATGGCTAACCACCGACTGCCTCGACGAGCTATGTTTTGCAGTGTAGGAGTAAATTGGAAAAAAGCTAGGGACGGCCAAAACAAAACATGGCACAAATCCATAAAGTTACTGACAAGTGGACTGAGTCATGTTATTAGATGTAGGCTACCTGGTTGGGGTCCGCGAGACGTAAGTCACCGATGGTTAGAGACTTTGAATGACATGGCTCAGAATCGTTTGCAGTGGCGCAGGTGCATCCACTCTTTGTGTTCTATGAAATTCTAAGCTTCTGCATTCCTCATAATCTCTATCTTTCTCCTTCTAAATTTATCTTACTGAATTATACTTCTCGAATCATATCTTCGCTTCCTAATCTTCTCCATTACTGCTAATACTTCTACTAATGCTATCACTCTTGAATTTGAACTGACAGTTGCGTCTCTGATAAGTCATAGCAACCTGAACTGATGTACTTATGTACGAAGTTCTACGTTGTATCTGTCTGTCCGTCAGACAAAAACGAAATGCAGTAATAATTCAACTAGGTAATCATACACAGGTTTATGTAACCAACGTCAGAGTCGTTTATGTTATTAACTATATATGAAGATCAGTAATACTAATTGGTTCTTTAACTGATATTCGTTCATAATGAGAATCACCTCTGAATCATGCAAGCGTGTACAAAAAATATCTCATTATTTCAAGAAGTCTACATTGATCCACACTGTACATATTGAATTCAATAATCAATACTCCTATGTCTATGAGCATTGTATACTTTTCTTTTTTTCTAAATTTATTAATTATTTGTGCATAAATTGACATTGAGAGTTGTTTTTTGATTGCATTGCATTATTTGCAGATACTGTACGACTTTATCTATACATATATATATATATATATATATATATATATATATATATATATATATATATATATATATATATATATATATATATATTTGAGGAAAATACATTTTGTATCAGTGATTGGTTACTAAAGCACAACACTACGAAATACCAATGTGATCTATACAACTTTAAACAAGCAATAAAACTAGTTTTACTGTAATATATTTTTGAATGTTTTGTACATTTTGGATTAAAATAAACTTTTTTTTTTTAACAATATAAACTTATTTCAATAAAAATATTATATTGATTTGTGTAGGTATATTATCGAACTTTTTAAATATTCACTTTGTAATATATATATATAATATGATATATATACATATATAAATGTATTTCTCAGTGTTAATGTTTCTTGTCTTTTTATTATTTATAAATTCATTGTCTACATCGATTAGAATACATTTATATTGGCTATAAGATTAAAAAAATGTGAATGTTGAGTGTGTTAGTAGGTCTGTTAAAATGAAAACAATAATATTTCAATGTTATTTATTGAATCTGTGTGTTTAACAACTGAGTGATTGTCACTGTGCGTGTGTGTAAAGTAGTTGTAAGTTTTGACAAGAAAAAAGAATTTTTTTTCTTCTATCCCTTTAAAATGCGCTTACTAGTTTGGTTTCTTATTTTGACAAGTAAACCAGCTGAGATGATGATGATGATGATGGCTTTCATGGTCGATGGTCGATGCTCCATTGGGGGTAACAGGCGTAAGTAAGTAGTAATGACAGATAAAGTACACTACACTTATGTATTTAGTGGAGTGTAACAAATGAAGAAGCAATGACTTCATTGAAAGAACTACAATCACTTTGTCATTGTATGTTCTACAAAGAAAAAGAACTACTTAAAATATCGATTAAATTCAATGGAGATAACTGATATGGGGAAATCCGTAAGTTAGTCAGTTACAACGTAGGACTTCGTACGTAAGTACATCAGTTCAAGTTGCCGTACCACATAAGCACAGAGATGCTATTGTCAATTCAAATCCCATAGTAGTAGAAGTAGCAAAAGTATTAGAAGTAATCGGAGAGATTAGGGTTCGAAGATGTTATTCATGAAGTATAATTCAGTGAGATAACTTTAGAAAGAGAACAAAGAGTGGATGCACCTGCGCCATTGTAAACGGTTTTGAGCCATGTCACTCAGGGACTCTAACTATCGATTATTGTCATCTCGCAGACCCCAACCAGGTAGTCGACACCTACCAAAATGACTCAGTCCACTTGTCAGTGACTTCATGCATTTCTGCCATGTTTTGGTCTGGCCGCCCCTACCTTTCGTCCAACCTATTCCTACATCACAAAACATAGCTCGTCGAGGCAGTCGGTGGTTAGGCATACGCAGCACCTGGTCCCAACCACCTCAACATGATGACAGTTCAATTACTTCATCTATTTGATCTGCCATCCTTACCTAGCACCCGTTTCCTAACGACAGCATTGCTCGGTTGTCCCACGATACTCGAGCAATACTTCGAAGACACCTATGATCGAAAACCAGTAACCTGTGGATATATACTCTGACTGGTCATGTTTCAAAGCCATAAAGTAGGACGGAGCGAACTACTGCACAGTACACTCGTCCTCTGGTCAGCAGACGGGTATCTCGCTTTCGCCATAA